AAACACAAAAAAGACCTCTTTGAAGTAAAGAGCAAAGATGTCTCTTTGAAGACTGTTTTGTTGTTGTTATGTGCCATCGAGCCGTACCCGACTCATAGCGACCCCTCCTTGGGTTTCTGAGGCAGTATCACTGTAGTAGATGGCCCCATCTTCCTTCCAAGGAATGGCTGGTGAGTTTGAACCACCAGCCTTCTGGTTAGCAGTCAAGTGCCTTAGCCACTATACTACCAGAGCTCCCCTTTGAAGACTAAGGTACACCTAATCCAAGCCATGGTATTTTCAATAGCCTCGTATGCATGTGAGAGCTGGACAATGAATAAAGAAGACCTAAGAAGAGTTGATGCTTTTGAGCTGTGGTGTTGGCAAAGAATGCTGAAAGTGGACCGCCAGAAGAACTGACAAATCTGTCCTGGAGGAAGTGCAGCCGGAATGCTCCTGGAAGCAAGAATGGCCAGACTTCGTCTCACCTACTTTGGTCATGTTGTCAGAAAGGACCATTCCCTGTAAAGGCTGTCATGCTTGGTAAAGTGGAGGGTCAGCGAAAAAGGGGAAGGCCCTCAACAAGATGGACTGACACAGTAGCTGTAATGATGGCTCACGAATAGCAAGGATTGTGAGGCTGGAGTGCAGGACCAGGCAGTTTATCATTCTGTTGCACGGAGGGTTGCTATGAGCCAGAGCCGATTCGGTGGCACCTAACAAAATGTGTCAATTTATCTGGGTCATGATTCTTAGCGGTTGGGCAGTTTCATGTCATCTGGCAGCTATGCAATGATATGACCATCTCCCATGAGGTGATTAGCCTGCCAGCTGCAAGAGGATTAATTAGGGTGGGATGCAACATGCTTAATTGGATCACAGTCCTTATCTGATATAAGGAGTTTCCCCTTGGTGTGGCCCGAATCACCTTTTACCTTACAAGAGATAAAAGGAGAGAACAGTGAGCAGAGGCGGGGAACCCAGGAACACCATGAGCCAGGAGTGGAGACATCTTTTGGACCCGAGGTACATGCACTGACAACTTCCTTGACCCAGGAAAAGACTGATGCCAAGATACATGGAGATCTCCAAGGGACACCAGACCCACAGATGTTGAAAGACCTTCCCCTAGACTCAAGAGAAAGCTTTCCCCGAGAGCTGGAGCCCTGAATTTGGACTTCTAGCCTCCTGTGAGAGAATAAAGCTACCTGTGCCATTTGACAGAACGATACTAGGTAACTTAAGACAAGGCTTAAAGTTATCTGAGTAGATAGCTTTAAGAACAACTGTACATTACCAGAATATCTTCAAACTCAAAACATAAGACTTGCTTGTCATTTCTGTATTTCCTTCATGTCCCAAATTAGCAACACAAATGCTAGGAATAATCCCATGCCCAAGCAAACCTAGATTCAAATTTCATTTTACTCCTGCAGAGGTTGGAAACTCCAGAAATCACAGATGTAATTTATTTTCGCTCACAAAGTACAGCCCCCTTAAGAAGGTACACAGATCCGCCTCCAGCAAATGTTCGTCAAAACCGGACCTAATTTCTTACTCCTAGGACCATTCTGAAGGCCTTCATCTATACACACTTTGTGCCACTTCTGTTTTGCCTTAAGGATAGATGAGAGAGGAATGAAAAGTATTTGGTGGAAAATTATTCACAACTTAAAATATGGAAGACTATTTCTTTCTTCTCTAGTTTTGTTTCTTGCTTCCTGCCAGGTAATTTAACTGTGTTCACAAATTAGATTGTGCTGTTAGACAGTAACTACCTTGACTGCTAACCAGAAGGCTGGCAGTTCAAACCCACCAGCCACTCCTCGGAAGGAAGATGGGGCAATCTACTTCCATAGTGATACTGCCT